AGATTCTGCTCGATCGACCTGTGGGAAGATATTGATATGTTGCTGGTCTAGGATGAGAGTACTGTAAGGTTGAATGTGGGAATCTCTATAATATTATGAAAATAACTACATCTCATCAACTAAGAGGAATTGCTCAACATAATTATGTTCATCTGAATCTGGACGTTCTGCCGGATCGGATGGTGTAAAGAAATTTAGGTGTTGCTGCGCAAACCTGATAAAGACGATGGTCCTGAAGATGGCTACTTCGATACTGCTATTATAACATGTAGATTGATCTACAGCGATCAATGTGTGATGTATCAATGAGTGATACTGCGCTAGTTGACACAACTTTAATAAAATTGCTATATCTTCAGCACTAATCAAGATCGCCCGACAAAATATTTTCTTTTGGAATCTACGGGTTCTGTTCGATTGTTTGGTGCACAGAAATTGATATGTTACTGGTCAACTGAGAGTACGGTAGTCCCGAAGATGGAAACACGCATAGCATTGAGAAAATAGCTGTATCGCCTCAACTAAGCAAAATCGCTCACGATTAGTTGTCTGGGATGTTTTGGTGGAGAACTGACTGCTCTTCCGCCTACATCCGATATCAGATTGCTGCTAGGATTTTCACATTAAAGTTAAATACATAGGAGTGGCGATAATGTGCACTGTCAAAGGACTTTGGGTTTGGAGTGAGGTTGAATGACAGATAATGAGTTTCGATTTCATTGTACGTTGTTTGCTGGTTCAGTAAAGAATGCCTCAACACAGACAATCTAAGAATGNTCATTGAACATAAATGAGCTGAAAACCTTTTCGGCATTACTTTCATTCTGTCCTTACCTAACTACTGAGTGAACGGTTCATTGCTGATTAAAACAGCATTAGGATGTGAGCCGGGTACTCTCCTCTAAAATGTTCATCAAATGTAATTTGCAACTATACAATGGTTTGAAGACAAGCAATGAAACCATTTTCATTCAGCTGATTCGGTTAGTTGATGATAGCAAATTATTGTCAAATTCTGTCAATTAATGCATTCATTGTTGTTCTTCAGTTACTGCATTTAACGACTCGAAGCTTTTCATCGCCTCTTTATCCTTCTCGCCTTCAATGGCAAACTCGTTCATTTGTTGCGTCTTCATCGCGAATAATTGGAAGAGATCGAAAGAAAATCAGAAAATTTATTCATACAAATTGATTGTTCACTAGAAATCAGCACTGTGAACGTTTACAATGACCAATATGATAAATTCGATGAAGAGAAGTATTGTTGATTCATGTTATGGAGACAACTTCTATATCACTCGGAATGCGCGAGTACCACGTGAATCCCTTGGCGGACATGGGCAGTACTGAAATAATCAACGATGTTTTGCGGTGTTTGTTGGTAATTATTTGGTTATGATCTGAAGAGCTATTGTTTGAACTGACAGGACCGTTCGTCACCGAATAATACCAATTTTTCAAGGTTTCAAATTGAGAAAATTCTACATTCGTTATATCTCCTTGACCATTCATAAGTTCCGTTTATTTTTGCAAGGTCCTGATGTTAACACCACAGTCACCTAAATTTTTCAGCGATTTTAATCACTAACCTCAGCGTCATCTCCTGTTCTGCCGGGACGTCCCATCGCTCCTTCTTCTCCATCCATACCCATAGTACCCATGAAGCCTTCAAGACCCTGTTCACCTACGGCTCCACGCGGACCCCTTGAGGCATTTGCTCCGTTGTCTCCAGGAGGTCCAGGCAGGCCTGCATCGCCTGCTGGCCCACGAACACCCTTCGACGAGACGAAACTATTACAGTCAAGACCCTTTTCACCAATCGTGCCTGACTCGCCATTATCACCTTAACAATTCGAAATTATCGAAACGATTGTATCAGCATGATGATCGTTGCAATCACCACTGTAATCGGTTTCTACTGGAGACGAACGCATCAATATTCATCTATTCGCAAGCTTACCTGCTGGTCCAGGTAATCCTATATCGCCTGGCATACCAGGCATACCGTCCCTACCAGGCATTCCTGGTACACCCTTTGGTCCTCGCATTCCTCGCAAACCGCCTCTTCCAGTGGCTCCAGGTGGTCCTGGTGGACCGGTTGGGCAGTAGTGACAACGCAAAGGCATCTCACGTTGCTCAATCATTAACGCATCTGTACCGTCTGTACCATCCTTTCCTGGCAACGCATCTTCTCCGTCCTCACCTCGTTCACCTGATGGACCAGCTGGTCCTTGCGGACATTTATTCTCTTGTTTACAGTCTGAAATGCATTTATCATGAGTATTCAACAACACTGCTTTTGTGTAGAAAATTGCTGNAAAAAAAACATACTGCAGGTCGATTTCACTCTGTCATTCTGTTTTTCTTTATTAACACCAGTTGCTGCATACGCACTGTACGTCTGTCGACGATCGCGATTCGATGTTGTGCCAGCGCCGAGATGTAGCATATCCATCCACAGGTCATCCGTTATGATCTGAATTTGTTGTGCGTAATGAAAGTTGATGTGTTCATGCTCATATGAGCAATGCTTTGAGTAATTTCTTAGCTGTTTGGGCACAATGCGCAATCACTGTTAAAGACTGAGATCTGAGGTGAAGTTCTTCTGAAGTCGTGATCTAGATGAGAACAACATCATATTCAATCATTTGCTCTAAAGTGAAACAATAATTGGATCAAACGGATCCAGTCGAAGTATTATTTGATTGTTCCTATGGTCTGAACTACGCGCACTAAAAGCATACACAAATTCTCGTCCAAGACAGTCAGCGACAATAACTGGCGGTATTCTGATATGGCATGTGCAAAGAATGCAGCTAAAGTCACCTGATGAACCTTGCCTGAAGCAGTCGGTGACGTACGCTAACACTTTGAGCGCTTTTGGGTTGAATGGTGAATGGGCTCTATGTCTTCTCATACACAAATGCTCTCAATTCATACAAAAGTCACGATTCCAGCCTGACATCTAAGTATCGCGGTACCTTTCTGTGATAAAAAGACAGCAAATATGGAAGAATTTATGCAAACCTTCAAAGAGTTCATCTCTGCATCAAATTCGCTCCATATATCAGTCACCTGTGATGAAATATTATAAACGGTAGCCAAACAAAATATCAACGACACAATCGAGAAGATGATAGCAGCATTTGTCGCGCTGCTGACACCCATTTTAGATGCTGCGAAGATCCTCTGAATCACCGTTAAACTGACTGCAACGAAACGACTGTGATCTGCCGAGTTTAACTGAAGCTTTATCAAGGAATTTCTTTGATGTGCTCCAAATTGAAAAACCAGTTGTTTGTATCGGATTACAATGTTTCATTTATGTTGAAATTCTCCGAGTTTCATTCAACCACACACTTTCCAGGCGTTGTCACACTCCACCCAGAAACATTTTTGATCTAATTTCATGATCCACTTCCGCAAAATGATACATTCCAATTGTAAGATGTTATCTCTAATTAGTAGCAACTCGTTTTCATATGATTTCTCCCAAGTTTGTGGCATTTTCAGAGCCACAGTGAAAACTATCATTCACCTGTTCACTGGATTACCTTCCATTTGATGTGTTCTACCATTACGCATTACTTAGAATGCTCCGTGTTTTCAATTACTCGATGTCGTTACATGAAACTTCCCTCCGAACTCAGCCATCTAATAACCATCATTCCTGATAAGTGTGCCATCGATCAGTATTGCTCGTCTCTTTGCAAGTTTCCTCAGTTTGCGATGGTATGCAGCCAGTGAAAAATCGCTGTTCGCATAATTAGGGCACGGAATTGGGTCACAGCGACTCATTTATCGGGTGATTGGAGCGCACTGCATGGTTACGCGACCCGCTGAATCTCGTTGAAATGAACATGCGAAACGAAACGCAAAATGAAACAAGTCGCTGCAATGCGATTTCCCGGTAACCTCGAACCTTCAGTTGAATCATAACCGAAATTCTCAGTATATCAGTCACAGGCATAAATCTGTGCGATGNAAACATCGACTCAAAACAAAGTTTATTCAACATTTCAATACATCCTTTTCATTAGTAATGTATAAAATTTCATTGAGTTTTATGGTAAATCGCCGACTGAATGCAATAAATTAGGTAACAAATATTCCACGTAATGTGAACAGCACGGAATAATTTAACAAATAATGAATAGAGTAATAATCAGAAAGATACTTCTTTCTGTAAGCAATATATGTACAAGATATACAGATTTGTACAAACTCAAGCTCGTACGAATAAACAAATTGCGATAAAATTTGCAAAAATAAAAGACGTAAGACAATACCCAACAAAACAGACAGTTCGGTTTCCCTAAGAGGCTATCGAAGATATTGAGAACTACTGCATTTCCGATTCATACCACTTTCTGGAACCTTTCAGTTCGCTTACGTAATAGGCGGTAATGAAAAAAAAAATCACTTAAGCATGATGACTGCCGAAGTATGCAAGGAATCGAAAACATCAATAAAGAGTCGTTGGAAAAACCTCAGACAGTGGAATCTTTATATATACCTGAAGAATTTGTGTGACTGAGGAAAACACCAATATCACCGGTTGTGAATGAAATTATGGAATATTATAATAATGGAATAGATAGTGGAATAGATAGTGAAAGTGATGATAACTTTACAACATAGTACTGATGAAATATCGTTGAACTAATCATCAACACAAAAATCTAACTTCACAAGTTCAATAACTAGAACAATAAATGTTAATATACACGAAAAAAAATCAACTCAAGCAGGATTATTTCCCAACAATCTCGGATTAGCACGAATCGATATGTACAAAGATATTTTTCAATAGAGTCGTGTTATTACGACTGATCCTAAATGTGATTCAATCTGTCCAAATGTGATATGATAGCGATCGGTTGAACTCAGCCACACATTAGCCTTGAACTACAATTCCTTGTTCTTGGACATCTGAAGAAGTGTTTTCCGTAAAACTGTTGCACCGCAATCGATCGATCGTCATTCTTATGACGGTATTTGGTCAGGCACGAATTTGTCCTTTGGTATCAGCGGTTCTAGATGGCTGAGAAACGTGTTGATGTTCGTTACTGAGAAGCCTTTACAGATCATCGATCCCGTATCGATCACTACATTATAAACGTTTGCTGATGAACGATGCACTCCTCTGGAATAAGCACCACATTGATTTTGAATGTCTGCATGTTCATCTATGTTTATCCATCGGAAGAAGAATATTCATTCCGGATGAATATCAGATTCGTGTGAAGTAATGCTTCACCTACACTCAAATGGCTGAAAGCAGCTGTAAATAGAATAATAACCTGGCCATATCACAAGCCCACCAAACTGGAGTCAATGACATTCCCCATTGTTTAACACGACAACAATCCTCTTTCAAGTTCTGCTTCTTGTAGTAAACCTTGACGATTTTGTCCAAACTGATGATTTTGTCTTGACACGTCGGAAAGTAATACGTTCGAACACGAATTTGCGAAGTGCCCAACTGAAAGATCAAAACGATAAGCTCAACTCATTGTAGACGAATTTCAGCTGGAAAAAAACTTCTGTTCCACTAAACAGGAAGGAAATCAGAAAATTCCACGATCTCTGGTCCAGCACGTTTCAGTATTTTAAGGCACCGATCCAGTGACCGTTTCATGCTGAACTAGGTTTTCGTTTTCGTACACGGTTTCACAACGTGTCATTCCTTGTGAGAAAGAAAACATTTTCAGTTGGAAACGTGATAATGGAGAAGTAATGTTAGTGAATATTAAAGGCATAGCATACATTCTACAGCTCTACTAAACAAGTAAAACACATGAACCAGAACAAACCTTACAAAACTTGTCTTTATACAAGCTTTTTGATTCCTTTGGTTGTTTTTCTGGCATCTTTTTGCGTTCAAGAATCTATCTGAAATACCGGAACAATTAAAATTACATGCATTAGATAACATCTACGAACGACACCTACACAGAATATAACGTGAAAACGATCAATTGCGAGACAATTCAATGCGATTCTATGAAACATACGACGTCCTCGGAGCGATTTCAATAACGACCAATAACCATTCTGTGAGCACAATGCACAATTGAAATGCTAGCTAGACTCAAAGAAAAATCTGAAGAAACGCATTTAGCGCAAACACACTAGTGGTAGTGCAACACATGAATAGCATTAGTTGAAGACAAGACAACGGCACGCGATCACCTGGTATTGGCTCGCTGTTGAGTGCGTTTCTGGANTTAATCCACAAACACACAAAAAAACATCTCAGCTCTATGTGACAAGCAATTTCTAAAGAAAACATGCATGAATGTACAATGGCCTAAAAGGCATCAGTCGATCACTGCGACGATGGTTTTTTTTTTTGGTCAAATGCTCAGCGTGATGCCAACTCAGTGAAAATCCCTTGGTAACAGAACATCATAGCTCTCCTCTCTAAGTAACTCATTCTTTTCTGCCGCAAGACGTTGCAATCAAGACATAGGCTATCACTTGTGAACAACAATCGTATTGTCATGAAAAAAGATCAAACATACGAAATACACCGATGAGATCAAAAATAGGCAAATATTAGAGCCGAGGGCGTTTGAGTCACATGCGCTTGCATGATGACTATGCGAGGTGAGCTGCATGAGCCACTGCTTTTATACGGTTTTGTCAAGCGATTACGAAACGCGATCGCGAATTATGCAGATAAATGTTGTCGAATGAAGCTTACTGTTTTCATCAGCCGTATCCGATAGTCGAATTTCATAGTAGATGATGAAGGGAACAATAAATTTGAGATGATTAAAGGTATCGAACATTTTCTACAATACTTGACAGTGTTCAGCATAGAATACTCATCACCAACAATTGCAGTTAGGGAACCTGTTAATCATTGACAAAAAACATGCCGGAGTTCATTCATTTACATAGTTGTTTATTTACAGACCATTAAAATGCATCATACGCACTTACTTACAGCACTAGTTTCTACCTTGCTAGCCGAATAACCTATTTTGTCGACCTAGTTCATCTGAAGAGTTGTGAGTATCAACGTGAAAATTGTCGACAACCATCGAAACCATTCGAACGCTTTCAACGCATCTATCGAAATGCACAAATGAGAGAGCCTTCTTACGACCTTTGACCCAATTAGTGATGTCATTTTTTCTTTAACTCTCATAACTTGCCGATGTTCACCTCTCAGCCATCTTCATTCATTCATCAGTTCCAGTTGTTTTCGCTGTCTGATACAGCAACAAACGCTCACCGACAGAATGTTACGTAACATCTTGTCGTCGAAGCGTGTCGGAGAAATGAGAAAAACACGAAGAAACACACACGATTTTCAACGGGTTCATCGAAACACCTCAGCACCTGATATGACGACAAACGAACATCTCAATACGACTTGCATAACATTGATGAATATTTATGAGGAGGTCGCGGGATATGATCTAATTGTAAGCATCAATTCCTACTTAGCTACCGCCTAGATAAATTGCTAAAACGAGGTGATGTTCAAGAGTTACTGCGATTTCTACTTTCTTACTGCTATTCGCTCAAGTGTATACACCCTACAAACTCAGTGATAATTCAGTGAAAGCAACAAAATTGAACACACTGAAGCTTTTGAAGTTCATGCAAACATTACTGCTGCTCAATTTGTGCTATTATTGCGAGCCGTTACAGATCGAGACGAGAACAGCGTTCAGCATCAGTGAAACACGATCCGTATTAGTGAATTTGCTAGGCATTCGATATTCTTATGTGAACATTTCATTGCTTCACAGATTCTCCTCGATACTCTCTTCAAACCTTTTACTCTCCAATGTCGGCTGTGCTGAACACATAAATCACCTATTTGTCACCGCATAAAGATAGCATTGAACGACCAGAATTCAGCACTGAGGTAAATGCACACCGTGACCATAATCATGCTTTTAAGTAAAGTTAGTACATCACCGCTTTTTGCTAGTGTTCTATGATCTGACGAAATAACATTGGACGAAAATACGGGTTGAAATATTCCTCTACTGAATCATGAACAGTCATCGAGTGAAAGAAACCTGAATTTTATCAGCAATCAACAACAGACTGATTCGTAGTCAAACATCGATATGCAAGTGCAAATATAAGTGCATGAGCAGAAAACAACCTGACAAAGTGCACAATTGAACATAGTAAGCAAAACAAATGATGTCTTATTGTCGATTTCACTAAGTTTCCATCTTGATAACATTCGCTGATAAGAAACACAATCGTTTGATATGAGCTCTCGATTGTGCGCGCGTGCACACGATGTCCGTCTATCTGCCTGTCTCGTGATCATATTAAACGATGAAACCGGCTTAATTGACGTGATAGGATGTTGATTACGAAATGGATAAGCGACGGATGACCTTAAAAGAAGTTGTTTGGTTGGGCGAGAGTGAGTGCTGATATGTGAAGATGATTCGGTTCAGTGAAGATGAGTGCTCGAAGGAAGTGAGTGAGTGCAATGCAATGCAAAACAAAAACGAGTCATATCGGCTGAGAGAAAAGGTTAATAATGATTTTCGGTGAGAACGTCATTAGTTAATGAAATCAGCCGTGTAGCATTCCTCTTAAGTAAACGAATGAATGCATGAAAAAAAAATTGAATGAAGAAATGAACTAAGAAATTTTCTGTACTGAAAAAATTGATTTGCGTTCGTATTTAAAAACAATTTATCTATGTTTTCTTGATTAGTTAGCGAGAGACACTTCACGGAATCTGCACTTTACATTCATGATATAGATCAACAAGTTGATCGTCGAGAAAGGGCATCGCTTATTTTACCTGAATTCATCTTTCATTTTGAAGGCATTATTTTTGAAAATCAATTTAGAAGACAACATGGGGCAAACATAATTATTGGTTACTCATTGGTCACAATTTTCAATTTTTAGTTATTCTCTGAAATCGTTTCCAGTCCATTTCGAGTTCAGTTCAATTCAGCTCTGTCTAATGTAACGCAATGAAAAAGATTTTGATGTGATAGTTGAGAGAATCTCATGACAGATTTTCGATTGCAACGAAATTTTTCAAACGAGATTTCTCAACACTTCAAACTTTCGGAAAGATGCGATGACAATAACATTGCGCATTTGCAGTCTTCCACAGTAATCAACGACTTTCCGAAACATATTTTCCTTAACTTTGCTCATAGCCACCGTAACCGTATTCAGCAGATCAACACGAAAACGTGATGGAATGAAAAAATAATTGCAAATGACAACGTGAAAACCAGTTGATGTTCTTACTGTAACGATAACAACGATAATTTTGGACTTTTGTGATAATAACTGAAATTTGTCATTTCTAACATCTTCAAAACACTTTTATGCTGTCCAGTGAACGTAAGCGCTTGTTGACTATCTAACAAGCACCTTCTAAGTTCCATGGTCTCGTCATAGAACCGAAATGGCTTCGCAAAACCAAAAACGATGCGATTTATATGAATAAATGAACCAAATTACAAGCAAGTGAACGAGTACAGCACGTGAATGTGTTGAATCGTTGGATTATCATTTCATTTGTCGATTTTCAACATAATTAGTACGGAATTTACATATTTGTGTGAATGAGTCTCATTCGTAATTGATATTCACTGAAATAGATTGTTGTTGTGTTCTTTATGTAGATTGCGATTTGCATTCAAATGCATCATATCTATTCAGTTTGTGTGCAAATCTGGTGTCACAAATGCAGTGTTATTTGCAGACTGAGCAACGATATTGTAATTTCATGACGCACGAAGTGCTGCATGCATTTTGTAAGCGCACGCACGTTTTAGGTGATAGATTTGATTGAGCAGACTGAACAAGACCGGTTATCGAATTAATTAATGCAATATGCTGGGTTGGGTTCATTGAATATGTGAAAAGCGTATGCGAGTTGATTTTGTGTAATGTCGCTGAAATGGACGATTCGTGCATCGTCGTTCCGTCATGAGAAATTCGTCGTCAATTGACGAAGTTTTCGAGTCAATGTCATCAGATCGTTGTTTTGGTAAAACTTAACAAGTAAGTAACTGAAGACATTCGATAGTACAGTCGTCAAAACGCTGTTGAATAATGGGCGAAGTTTAGCAGAAAAACTAACTTCTCATGTGAACGAACAGAGACGACACCTTTACCTTCACATCTNGTTCTCATAAGAGTGAAATTACCCATTTTGAGTAATTTGGAGGTGTCAAGGGGTAATGGAGGGGGTCGGGAAATTAGTATTTTGTACAGTTGTTGCGTTATGATAGAACGCCATTGTAATGGTGTTTTTTTGTAACTCGGGTATGTAAATGCGGTTAGTTGAAGGCAAAACTCTTCATTGTCCTATTTTCTGAGTATCATTAGCTCGTCTGAATCCAAAAGTGTTCATTTTTTACTGTTTTAACAGAATTTTCATTCTTTTCCTTGATGTTACAATCGCTCTCATATCTTTTATCACCAAAAGTGTTCTCTTCTGCTAATTTCTCATTCATTTCACTGAATAATGAAAGTCAAATTCTCATTCTATCAAATACACTCTATAAGTGATCATTTGACTGTCGAACGTTGTTGACCAATTCAATTCGATTGCTGTATTGTGGATTTCGGCTGTTAACACTCGTCAACGTATCGAGTAAATAGTATATGCTACAGAATAAGAAACTAATTCGAACTATGAAGTGAAATGAGACGAAATGAATGAGAAAAACTCATGAAGACAATGATATTCGCATGTGATAGCTATGAGAGTGAATAGAGCACGTCTGAAAAGAATGAGAAATCGTCTAAATCAGTTTGAAGTGAGCATGTGCTAGACAATAGCTTTTCATGCAATCATAATCGATTGCAATAATGAGCAACGCAACGGTCTAGGACAATGGTTATCATAGCAAGTCAGTTCATCCGTTTTGGGTAATTTGGAGTAATGGCGCACCCTAACGCGAGAACAACTGCACTAGGCTGAGCCAACTTTCAAGGAATCGTCTAGTGAACATTAAACATTTGTATTCGACCGTCTGTCCATGTTATCGTGATTGCATATATAATAGAGCAGTTCGCTCCGATCCCAGCATTTCATACTCTCAAGATCAGTTTTGCATTGTATGGGCTGAAGAACTGATTGCAAACTCAACATAACCATTTGGCGGAGGCTGAACGATTTCTGCGAAATCTCCGAGGCAATGACTGGTATGTCGCGGATTCAGTTCCGTTTGCTAGATGAAGTTTTGCTTGAAATCGAGTGGGGTAGCAAGATCATTCATGACACACTTGAATGAGCACAAACGTGCACAAATATATCTAAATATACCTAAATGATATACCTGAATCCGCAAGCTCCCAGTAATTTCATGAGCAGTGATCATGAGTCCAATATTCATTACCAATGCGTCCTTTGCTAAAGATCTCACTCTTACACATCGTTTCAATCCTAATTTGTGGCTATGCGAAGTGCAACTCGGTGAATGCATTCAATAAAACAGTGTTTATTGGGCACATTCATATACACATATACAATCATACCGTTTACATATTGGTTCATAATTTCATGAATATGAACACTTGATCCATACAAACGAAAAACAGGATAAAATCACATGAAACCGCAAAGTACGATCAATCTATGACGATCATAACAACAACAGCTGTTGTGCTTTGTAACGGAAACGAATAAAACATGATTCGGCGATGAATAACCTAATCAACGGACCTGTTGCTATTAAAGTATTTAAAATCAACAAAATAATCGCGCAGAATACAAACGATTCAGTTGACAAACTAAGCATCTCTTAAAAGAAGCGTTAAGGATGACAAACCAGTATGAAAGTTATCACAAAAATAAGATAAGACCTCAAACGGACAGTAACTGAATATATATATTAATATACAAATATTTGCTGCCAACGAACTTGTTAGTAACATCGAATGAAGACAAGAATACAGAAACAAATCCCAAAATATTCACACAATAACTAACTCAGCCAGAAAAACATCATATAAACTACGAACAAAGTATTAACCGAAAACAAACCAAACCAATTTCCCAATTAAAAAATTTTTGAATTTACAATGTTGATAATCATGAAAGCATCAAACGAAAACGAAAAAAAAAGATTTCCAATGACATCAATTGAGCAATACGATAAACTAGGAATCATTCCTATAAAAAGATCGCCGTCTGCATAATAACTCTTGATGTATCACAATTCTTGAAGATATCTTTATGATGTTGATGATCTACACTTCTCTGCCAACTGCTCAAAAGCAGGCAAGCGGAATCGGGGTTCGAAGAGCTCCTCGAAATCGAGTGAAGAGCAGTAAGTCTTGCAACGACGAGCCACTACTGGTGATTACAGTGAATCCGTCCATTCACTTTCCGTGTGTTCTCATATGCGCCTTCAGATTCGTTGATTGTGCAAAGGCCCTCTCACAATGTGGACATACAAACGGCTTCTCTCCTGAATGCGCTAACTATAGTAAAACTCAAACGACTCAACCACAGAACTGAACTTCGCTGATTTAGATGAATAAGTGATCATGATAAGTATCATATTCGCAGCCCATTCAAATAGCAAATCCGAAAAAAAGAGCTTAACTCGAACCTAAGTGAAGTCGCTGATGAGTCCGCAGATTGAAAATCAGCGAGAAGCGTTTGTCACATCCTTCGAATTCACACTATAACATTTCGAATTTAACACGGCCAAAGAAACTCAAAGGGTATTGATAGAACGACGAATCAAATTGTTAACAGATGATCACAAAAAAACAACAGAACATCTTCGAGTATTCAAATTCCAACAAGAAATGCTCAAAGAAAAATTCTAAAACAAAATACTTTCTATTCGCAAGTCAAGTTGACCTCTACTGTCACTGAGTTACACAAATAAACAACCGAAAACACCATAAATACTTTCAAGGAAACAATCAACACACAATGTGAAGTACTGCAAAACAATAGGAATCTTACACGAAAAGGCTTTTCACCGGTATGAACGAGTTGATGCCGTCGCAGTTTGGAGCGTTCCACAAACGCTCGACCACATTTATCGCATTTATGTGATGGAGGCGCATGACAAGCAAAATGCTTTCGTAGTGCTGAGCATGATTTGAACAATTTCTCACAATTCTGAAACCAGAATGAATCGTGTAAGATCTAGGCAGTTAACTTATCGAAGTTTCATTCAATGGTAAGAAATGATGAAAAATCAACAACCTCATATGGACATGGCACTTTTTTCAACGCTGACTTTCGAGATTTCGAAACACTGAAATCAACTATCAATGAATTATAATCGACGGAATTCACGGATTATTCATTCGTTTTGCAATTAGTCACCGTTTGGGCACATGCTCGAAATTTATGTTGACCAATGAAATAGAAAACATATCCGAGATTAAGTTCTAGTCCAAGAAAATCCTCGAAGTTATTCGGAATTTATATGAGCTGCAGAATAAAGACGACCATTGCATGAGGAATATTGTCATTATGGCTGAAATAGAAAGGCATATTTCGAAAAAAAAAAAGAACGAACCTTTCAGGAATCCTATGCACTTTAATCAATTTGACCGGTTTAAATGAAGTGGAAGGTTCGCTAACAGTCACTGCCATTTTATTCTAGAATTCAGATGAAGTCAGGAATAATAAAGTTCAAAAAACTAAGACCGATAAGTGAAGATACTGCCACCATATTCAAATTTGTTTAAAGAAATGCTCCCGTGTTACTTATTCACTGTTCGATATCAACAGTGATACTGAATAACACTCGAGGAAAATATTTGGAATCCACCATGAACTTAGGAAGCTTGCAAGAACACAATCACTATATGCTCAATGACGTTCACAGTGGAGGGTTCGGTTTAATGTGATCCTAAGTTCGTTCTGAAATTTATCGACACCATACCTTGAAACAATCGGTAGATGTGCTGGCCGAATGCACGATCTCGACATGCTTTATTGACTTTCCAACTGGCTCTGGTGAGCTCAGTGATTGCGGAATACTGCTTTCGTGATCAGCTGATAATTTTGTAGGTGTGTTCGGAGACATTCGCATGGAATCTGAACGTGATATTGACGGTGCTATTGTGGCAATCGGCGACGATAAACCATCATCGAGTCGTTGTGCAGCAGACGACAGGGTCGGATCGTGTTGAGAATCCTGGAACACAACTAATGATTATGGCTGAATATAATTATAGTTGAAAGAGCCAGTGTATACGTATGTATGTGAATGGCATGTCTTCTCTTCCATGTTGGCTATAAAAAATAATAACTTTGTTAAAATAACAAAGAGGAATGCTTACCTGAAGAATATTATGATCATCCAAATCGAAAGCAGCACACTCTTGACGAGCACNCATAACTTTCGACAACTTGCGAACATTAGCCGAGGTCACTGTTTTAACTGTAAAAGCGTTGATATTAAATAACGATTAATTCACCTGGACCACAATCACAAAAGATTCATTAGCATGTTACAACGAACTCTTTAATAATGATTGCGCTTTTGAAGGACTCATTAATAACATATTCAATGGAAAACATATTGCACACTTCGCTTAAAACCAAACAACCATTTAACCAACAACAACCCACATGTAATTACTTGAATAAATCAATCACTCATTTCCCGTTGATGTCTCCCGAAGAGAAACTAATAATATCAAAATCAATAACAGAGTAATATGGTTTTCAATCAGCAAAAAAATTACAGGATAATAAAAAGTAAGTGAACATATTAACATAAACAAATGAATTTGTCTCAAAGCACTACCGACAGGCACTGTGGCTACCCAAGCCTTCGTCTCATATTGACCATTTGCTGTTCGTATTTGTACACGACGCTTTTTCCACTGTCCGAAACCACTCGGCGATATGGGCATTGCTCCGGGTGATACAGCAGGCCTGAGCTCGTTTGTTCGATTCGTAGCCGACATAGATAAGACCGGCAATTTGTCATTCTGAATATAAATCCCATCACAGAAGCCTTCCAAACAAACCCTTCAAATTACCGACACTGCAGCAAACAACACCTATTCCGTCAAAATAGAGAAACATAAGCAGGCTCTAGCGCCCGACCTTTACTGTGTTCATTGCGAGGATAAACAATGGCGCACATTTCAGGTATATCAATAACATTTACCGATTTTGACAGTGATGATGATTCTAGTGTTGGTGAATCCTTAGAGAATCTATCGGCGGGATGAACACTTTCAATGTCCCCGTCTAAACTTTGATAACGGTCGTCCCCAACTTTTAGCTGAAAACATCGCAAAATTTTTCACAGACATGAAGAGATTGTTTGGGATAGTTTTAAGACCAAAAGTGCACGTATGTAATCTGATGTGACCGATTAAGGTCTGATCAAACAAAGGTGCTTGATGGAGAAACGAAATAGAAATGATGGAAACGGGTGAGTGAAATTACCTTTGTCCGAGTATTCGCTGCAAACGAAAAACGTGTGACAGGAATTTGTGCTGTCGACATATTAGCCTTTCCATCAAACTCCATGCAATCATCCAAATATCCTCCACCATCTACACACGACGATATTGTTTCCTCACCGCTTAGAAGCTAAAAATTCGAGAATTTATAAACATTCAGCTCAACATGAAAAGCTTCATCAATAATGTTACCCATCGTTGATCACTTAACGAGTAAGCCAGAACTCTTTTGATAATGCGCCATTGCAAAAACAAGTGGTGCAGCAAATATTTTCACAGAACTGATAAATTTGACTTCGGAAATAAAATTTCTTCAATAAACAAAGTGAAAAGTTAGGAAAACTTACGAAATCTTCACCACATATTGGGTGCATATCGAACGTTATATTGGACTGATACGAAAAATCGACATCATCGAACTGATTCTCCAATGACATATCATCCAGAAGTCCGGAAACACATTCATTTGAGCCGGACATTGTTATTTGGGGATTTTAGAGACTGGTACCACCTCGTCTATTTGGACCATACACCTGAACAACGCTCGTCAATGTATTCAATGTGATCAAGACTTCAAATATTCACAAATTCATAAGTTTCTAGTCATATCATTTACTAAATCGATGTATTATTCAATTAGTGTCATGGTTTATGAATACAGCTGAGCAATGACGAACGAACAGAGCGGAATGAATTCCGACAAAAAAGGGAATCTTCCATGAAAACTGCCACTTAATGATATACTTTAAAAATCTAAGACGATAAAAGTCTATTCTAGACGAGGAAAAATTAGAAAACATAGAACAGATGAACAAAAACAAATACTTTCAAGTAACAGAAGAAACAGGAAATAAGTGACTTTCTGAAATAAGTGGCTGTTGCGTACTGGTCAAGAAGGACTTGTGGGGTTTCATCATTAAAATTAAACTAAACGAATGCAAGGAATTCAAAACGGACTGAACAAATATTTCCAAGGAATTCAAACAGCAAGTAAACGAATCAACGAATCTTATGCATTTCTTAATAGCATTAGCAGCTGTTGCAGTTATCGCATTCAAATGACAACGTTCGTACAGGTTCGGCAGGTTTACAGCGAACGTTCAAACTGAGCGCACTCGCTGATTGGTCAATGAGGTAACAAGCGTACGGTTTCTGTAAGAAAAACTGACCAATAGGAAGGAAGAATTACTGTAGTTTAGTCTACAATAAGTAGAAAGTTTAACAGTGCGTGCCTAGTGATTGCTGAATGGTTTTGGGGGAAATTTAAAGCATCGCAAGCGTTGAATCAGCTTCTTTTCTGATCGTGATCGTCTTATTGTGAATCCTCAAGTGATTCTGGTCTTNCATTTTGCACGAAAACTGACATCTTCAAGCGAATTTAATTCCAATTTCTGAAAGCAAATATGTAGGTTCCAAATTTTCTGCTTCATACAATTTTGCGGCGAATAAGCTGAAGAGATTGAAATTTTGACCAATTTGAAGCATTGTTCCTATTTGTGCCTGTCATTTCACGATCAGTATAACTTCTCTTTCGACGATTCTGAATGTTGCACAATGCACTTGAGAAAATTTTTATTAAAATGTCGGTGGTTTTGAAATCATGTGAGAAGTTCTTGCTCGATAACCATTTGCATACTTATGTCACACATTCACCTGAGGCTTCGAACGTGCTCAGGAGGATACTTTGAAGATGAATGGGGGCTTTTCTGATGTTCATTCTGAACACAGATGGTTCATAATGTTTTTCATTGATGCGGAAGTATTTTTGCTTAAAAACAAGTGTCCGAGATCAGTTGAATATCACTTTTATTCGGAATGAATATTATGAACAATTGAACGAGAATGTGATAAAAACAATGAAAAACTAGTAGTCTAATAGAGCTAGTCGATGAACTGGAAAATCTAAACTAATAGGAAATAAGTTTGGACATATTAAAAATTACAGAGATAAATTTTATGATGGTCGCATCGAATTTTAGGAAAAAACGAGGTGATTGTTCGTTATAATACGGTTATTTGAAGGTGCACAAGGAATCGTAATCATTGATTTGTGTCAACTTAATGTAATGCACTCCCAAAATTCAATGTTGCGTCCAGTCACCATAATAACAGCTNTGAAATTACATTGGAAAATTCGAAAGTCTGCTGAATTGCCACAATGCTCAATTACTATAATTGCTAAAAAATTGTTCGAATTCATCAGCTGAGGTGCTCCATTTCATTAATTCGCTAACACCGTGTTCAATGCAATAATGAGATTAGATTGTTGAGTCTTTGGCAACGTCCGTCGTCATGCTGGCTCAGAAAATTAATCAAGATCTTTTGTAGGCGAAGCAAATGACTTGGTCACGTTGCGCTTCGCAGTGTTCTGATGTGCTAACTATGTATGTAAATCCAGCATTCGAGCAGATTACATCCAGAATTGAGCCACTGATCTCACGTAGTGCAGCCTTATGGATCGCTCGTTTTGACGACACTGGGTCGTTGGCGACAATATTCTGAAACACTTTCCAGTGTATACTTGATCGGCCTAGGGATCATATAACGTTAACGTTTACGGAATGCTTCAGTGCATATGAGCCGCGGAAACAGTAAAATTGTGCCGGAGTTTTTGAATCTTTCGGAGGATGGCTGACGTTATGGATTATCCTTTCGGTGGGATGAATAGGGATTAAGCGGTAAGTATGATCATCCGGATAATTCAATGAGACTTATAAGGTGAATGAGCATTACACAATTCAAAAGATCACCTTCAAAATGAGTTTCTTGATCTTTTCATTATTGCACTTCGAATCTGTTTTCGTTTTGACACCTCGTGCTTGACGCTGTAACCCAGCATCTGAAAAATTCGCCTGTTGTGAATTTATTCATTAT